GCTCCTCAGTTCAGATCAGACACGCCCCAGTCGAGGCGCGCCTCGGCTCAGCTGTAGTTTTTCTTTTAAACACTTGGTGTCCTCCATTTACTCTCTGCCTTTTCTCAGCTCTTTTCCTCTACGTTTGAGTGTTTGTACGCGTGTGCATGCGTGCGTGCGTGCGTGCGTGCGTGCGTGTGTGTGTGTGTGTGTGTGTGTGTGTGTGTGTGTGTGTGTGTATGTGTGAACCTATGGTATGAGTTGTTTCTGCCAGTTGAATCTCTTGGAACCCGCTCCAATTCTGCAGCTGTATCCTAGCAGTTTCTTCCTAAATGGGTACGTAAATAACCATGTTTTTCGGGGGGCGTACAGCTCCTTGTGTTTCTCAACTTCCATAATTAATTTAAAGTCATCCATCCTAACTGCTTGCCTCAGACTTTCTGCCTCTCTGTCCTGTTTGCTCCGGTGAAAAGACACCCAAACCCACACACCCCTTCATGTGGTCACACACGCACACAAGTTCGATGTGTGTGCGTGTTCGTGTGGTTTTTCTGCAGTGTCTGTTTATGAACACATTTGACTATTGCGGAATTTTATTTTGAAATGCTTTATTTTGTTAACTTTACCGGCCTGCCTCTTATGTCTACGTTTGACTTCCTGCCAGAATTGACGCGATTCACCCGCGGCTCACGAAAAAAATAGAGCCAATGCCGAAATGATCGCTGCACGGCGCGGGCTGGAGCGCCGGCGCGAGGCGATTCGCGGCGCTTCGGCGGCCCATGTGGTCTATAGAATAGCTTAACAAGGGCGCCGAATGAAGGCGGTCCTATTTTCGCTGCGCTTCCGCGGCCATTGTGTCCCCGGCGTAACTCCCATATTACCTCAAAGAAATTCTAAGCACACCCAGAGGGACTAGATTCATAATTTGGTAAATTGTAAACAACCCTTAAACAGACAACAAACACATACTTTGCAAAGGGTGAGAGGATCATTACACACCAAACCAAAGGCATTTTCCTCTCACACTGAGTTGAAAACTCCGGAGAGTATTTATTTGCAAGAACACACACACCCATACATTCCTCAAAAAACCCCTTGGCCTTAGGAATCCACAGAAGACAAAAGGGATTCTTCAGATAATAGCTCAACGAGTCTCTTGGCCTGGGCAGGAAGGAGAGTTGTTCCTGCCTAAGCTCTTGGCCAGGGCAGGACCCCCGGTTTGGCTGGTTTGGCCTCTATAGAGCTCCGGGAGTTGACGTCACTTCTCCCGGCATGCAACAGTTCAAATCGAAACGGCGCCATATTGGCATGCAGAAGCCGGCAGCTGGACTATTTGTTATTGTCAGAAAACTCAATCAAATGGGAAATATGGTAGATTCCTGTTGTGCCACAGGATGCAGAACAGACGCGGACGACATAAGGAATGAGCCATCTACAGGATTCCCCAAGATCCGGAGCGCCGCAAACGTTGGATCATTGTAATAAAACGCACTAGTGACCGGGCGAAAATGAAGCTGTGGGATCCCGAGATTAAAGGTTTTCGCTTATGCAGCGGCCACTTCATATCAGGTACTTAAACCAACGTTTCCTCAACTGTGTATGGTGTTTATTTTAAATGCTTTTATTATGATTCTTAGTGGGCTTCCTAAACTTATTTTTGGCGTGTCTTTTTCTGTCTTATTACTCATAGCAGCAAGTAAACATCACGTAAAACGTTGCCTCGTGATTTCTGAGTGCTGCCGTTTCCGTGTTTTATGATGACAGCAATTAACCGGCTAAGCTGTATTTAATTTATAAGCAATGGTTGATCAATTGTCAGATCACACATAAAAAGCACTTTGGATTGCTATTATCTGTCTCACCGAGACTTCTTACGTGTAAATCTGTTATTTGTCCGTCCATCCATCCATTTTCATCCGCGTATCCGGAGTCGGGTTGCGGGGGCAGTAGCGTGACTTCCCTCTCCCCAGCCGCCGGAGCCAGCTCCTCCGGGTAAATCCCAAGGGGTTCCCCGGTCAGGTCCGGTGTTGTGCCGGTAAGAAGCCCGCTCCGACAGCTTCTGGCGTCGGAGCGGGCTGTAGAGTCGAGAGTCCCAGACCTTCTCCCCAGCTCCTTCGGCCGGGGGAATCCCAAGGGGTTCCCCGGCCAGGTCCGGTGTTGTGCCGGTAAGAAGTCCGCTACGACAGCTTCTGGCGTTTTTAAAAAGTATCCCAGGGGCACGGTAAGGGTCGGAGATGTTTAGTCTATTTAATTTCTGACTATATAAAACGATTTCTTCTGTTTTAAAGTGTGAAGTAAACTCCGACGAAGTAAAATCCAAGCGGATCCCGTTCATGTTCATGGTTACATCCGTGTTTGTTTACCTTTTTTGCATGCCAAAATGGCGTCCACTAACTGAGAGTCACGTGGGGTCCGGAGCTCTATATAATAGAACACAAGTACCTGAAGCAAACATTCAAATGTAAATAAGCACTTCAAGCAGAAATGAGTAGAAAGGAATTCCTGCAGCCATTTGGAGTCAGGTAACTCTGTTTGATAATCAGTTTTTACCTATCAGGATTCACCAACGGATCACAAACATTAGCTTTAGCGACATGCTAACAAGTGTTTGTGCTACACAACAGCAGCTACGAATCCACAATAACACAGACAAAATATCCAGTCCAGTAAAATTGGATTATTGAACAACACATTATGTATTTTCGATGACTAAATCTAAAACTAAATGTACTTTCTGTCACAAACTCACACTTTTACTAGAATGTGGTGTGTGGTGTTGCATCTAAAAACGTTTGGGCGGAAAAACATTCTCACTCTGTCAGATAACTTTGTTAAGGGGGAAAAGGGTTAAACAAGTCGAGTCTGCTAAAATTGGGTTATTAAACAACACCAGATTGCTTTCAATTACAAGATCGTAAACCAAATGTACTTTCTGTCACAAACTCACACTTTTGTCGCACCTAAATGGGTCTGGGCAGAAAACAATTCTCTTTCTGTTAATAAGTCACTTTGGTCAGGGAAAAAACTGACATAAGGCGAAATAAGCCTGAAAAACATACATAAATGAACTTACCACAACTTGTTTCTCAACAGATAAATGCAGGGTTTATTCTCCAAATGTGCTGGACTAAGTGGAGTGAAATTATTAGAGCAGGAGTTCCATATTCTGTAACTTACAGTAACAAATTTTTGTACTTGCAATGACGAATCTGTGACATGTGACAGTAATTTTGTGTTTGTGAGTGACAGTAAAAAAAGGCAGAAGTTACTTTTTTCATACACAAGTATGTGGATGTGTTTAGCACCATCTGTTTTGGCTCAATTGGGGCAAAACTTCAACTGAACGATTTCTTTTATGAGTGACTCAACAAATACAATTTGTGTACTTGAAACAAAGATTTTGAATAAATGAAGCTGTTGTTCTGTACCTGCGAAAGATCGTTTTTTTCTACATGCTTCTCTGTTTATTAAAGTTCCCAGAGTTGAGACACAAATGTGTTTGCACCAGATATTTTGGATCAACTGGGGCTTAACTGTAACTGCAAGATTTTTTGGGTGTGTGACTCGAAGAATGCATTTTGTGTACTCACCCAAGATTTTGAATAGGTGTAGATGTTTTGTACCTGTGAAAGATAGCATTTTTCTGACAGGATATCCACGGGTCCTTAAAAAGTATTAAATTTGCTTTTCTAAATTTAAGGTCTTAAAAATCCTTAAATGACAAATAATCCTTAAATACAGTTTCCAAAGGTCTTAAATGACCAAAGACCCAATAAACAAAATTATTTTATTTCTGTTAAATTTTCATGAATTTCTAGTTAGTGTTCAGCTTTTTTTATGCACGATGTTGGCGTAAGCGGAACCGTACACATTCAGTTGGTTGTGAAAGGGGGCTATTTTTAGATGAGCACATTAGCTGGTTAAGCTAGTGGGCGCTTGTGCCATGGCGAAGTGCAAGTTTAATGGTAACTGGATGGCTAATCCCACGTTTGCAACGTGGTTAGCACCGGTTCCAGGCAATAGCTGGAAATTCTAGCTTAAATTTGGTCAAAGTGGCCTTAAAAAAGGTCTTAAAAAAGTCTTAAATTTGGCTCTCTTAAACCTGCAGATACCCTGTTCTGAAGTTGTCTCCATGAATTTAAGTTCCCAGGGACAACACACAAATGTTATTGCACCAAATGTACCTCCATAGCACGAGACCGTAAACAAGAGGACCATCATATACAAAATGATTTAAAGACCTGTGGAGAACCTACATCAGCAATAAACATAGGAAAACAACTAATAACAGAAAGAAAAGAACAACCAAAACAAAGAACCAGAAGTCCAGGAAACACAAGAACCAAAACCAGTGATAACTTTTCCTTGCATCAAAGACGTAACAGAAAAAATTATGGCAACAATGACAAAACAACATAAATACACAATCAAAACCATGCTGTTAGAAAAATAACTAGTACACCCAAAATACAAGATACCAGCTGGACATAATTGTGGAGTCATATACGCAATGCCATGCAAACTCGGCAATAAACGTACATAGGAGAAACCGGACGCCAACTCAACCCAAATAATAGAACATTGAAGGAGTGTGAAAAGGAAACAAACCGACGACCACAAAAGCAGCAAAACAGACCACTGCTCAAGCCAAAAACATACAACACAAGGATCATAAACATCGAACAACCAAAATATAAAAGAGGGATTAAAGAAGCAATACCAAGAAGGAGACATGGACACAGAACCATGATCAGAGAAGATGGAGTCTACACGTTAGATCACGCAAGGAACTGTTTCATCGACAAGGAGGGCGCGGGCAGCACAGGGCAACATCTTCCTCTGATACCCGCAGTTAAACAGAAAGAAGTGACGCCACCAAAATCGGCACTACTCTGAGTATGGCTATAGTAATTAGCCTAAATGTTAGCAAAACAAGGTAAAGAACAACTCCTTTTTTCTGTGTTTTAAAAGAACTAAGCAGTGCAAATTGATATCAGATATCTGGACTTCTTTGCCTCCAGAGCGACCCCTACTGGACCATAAATACCCTGACAGCAAAGGATCGCAGTCGGATCGGAAACCTGACTGTCTGCAGCCTGGTAGAGATGCTCCGTCTAGCGGCTCGAGCTAACAGCTCTGCACTTCTCAACATTCACAAACCTCCACCTGAACACCCACGCTTCCGCAGCTGGTTCATGGACACGCTGTGGGTCCTGCAGAAAGCAGGGATCTCCCCAAAAAGGGTGAGCACATCATCCCCACACCAGCAATAATCCATTATTCATATTCAGCTGCCATGAAGAGAGACATCTATATTTTTAGTAAAATTGATCTGTCCTGCTTGTCATTGCCAGGTGACATGGGCCCCCGACACCGACAGGGGAAGGGTGAGAGGCCTTCAGCAGGCCACAAATGAAAAGCTGTCCCTGGATGAGATAAGGCAGCGAGGAATTACAAGTCTGACACTCGACTACAGAAAGATCAGCCTCCGGGACATACGGTGAGCTTAAACGACCACTGTTCAGCAACTGGCTAAAGGTTCAGAAGCAGAACCAGGAGCTAAGAGGAGCTTTTGGATAAACTAATGATATCCATGAATCAGAATTAGAAGTTTTAACTCATCAATGTGGACATTTAATCAGCTCAGTTACAGCTCTGGAGTCTTATGTTTTTAAAGGAGACCTAACATGCTTTTAAGTTATTCCTTTTTACATCTAAAGCCCTTTTCAGATAGACATTCTGGAACATTTGTGGACAATTCAATCCGGTTTTTAACTGGAACTGTGTTTTCAGACACACCACTTTTGTACTGGAACTTGTCCTTTCGGCTGCGTTCACACAGCAGGGAAAAGTTCCAGATGACTGACGGCGGCGGGGGGTGGGGTGGGGTGGGGTGGTGAGAATCTGACTTATGTTACGAAGAAGAAGAAGAAAATATCATTTCTATAGCGCCTCTCAAGATAAAAATCACGAGGCGCTTAAGCTTAATTCTGCGCACACGAAGATGCATAAGAGACCTGGATGATGAAGCTCAATGGTTAAAGGAATCACTGAAGCAGTGTGAAGCGCTCCGTCGCGCGTCTAGACGGTACCGTAGGAGGCGAGCTGCCGTGGTTCGCCGCATTCTACAGCAGCGGGCTATCTAGGTGCGCACAGCGTCCCCCCGGTCCCCTCCTCCTCCCCCTCCCCCTTGTCCGGAACTTTACCTCACCAGTCTGAATCAGCCACCCTGTCCGTAACAAGTCCGGACCTGTTACTAGGGGCTTCGTCTGGATAAATTCCGGAACACGTTATCCGGATGTTTGTATTCAGACAAAAAGGTCTTACGGACAGAGTCCGGAACATTTCCGTTTTTCATGGCCTGTCTGAAGGGGGCTTAAGTCATTCAGTTGGGGTCTAAATACAGTGGAACTGCAGTTCTTTGGTCTGATTTCCTCATTATTGTTGCTCTACAGACCCCTCATCTACCCCAGTTCTGAGGAGAGTCTGAGAATGAGCCGTTTTTGGGTACTGTCTCCTTAAATCTGGAGAAGGAGCTGCAAACTCTGCCCCCCTCCACAGAGCAGACCACAATCCTCCCCCAGTCGGGCTTTGTAGTTCTATAGAGAAATCATTATGTAGCGTAGCAGAAACGTTATACTAGCATTTTTAAAACATGTGGGGAGAGTTGTCCATCAAGCTGTTTCAAGGCTGCCAACTCTCTCATGCATTTGTTTGTAGTCATACGCGCACACACACACACACACACACACACACACACACACACACACACACACACACACACACACAGAAACACACTACTTTTTTCTTCTGGTTTTTTTTAGCAGTAGTGTCAGCAGCTTCTGGGTTTTATAATACTGCCACACCACCCTTCCGTAAAGTGAGGAACCATTTTGAGCTGTGTGTGGCTAAAATAGCCGGACATTCTGCATTTTTCCAATAGGACTACAAAAATCTTAGCGAGAAGAAAAAAATGGCGGATTTGCTCTGTGTTTAGCCAGAGGGTCATGACCATATTTGGTAGTTATTGTGACGACATAAATTTCAGATGTTTTAGGTATTTTGAAAAACTGAACGGGTAGACAAATATGCCCAAAACTTAATTATTGAATATCTAAATAGCACCTCTAGTGAATAATATAAGCCTTTTTGCTCACTTAGACACTTAAAATGTGAAACACACTGTGTTAATGGATAAAAAAGTGGATGTTTCATGTTATGTCTCTAAAGTTGGATCAGCCTGCAGGTTTATACATGCTACCTCCTGTCACAACATAAACACTGAAATATTTAATTCATACTTATTACAAGTTCTGTGCTGTTCCAGTCCGTGTTTCAGATGAAAACAATGTTCTATGGCATTAAGAGTTTTTAGGACGATGTAGCTAATGTGGAGCACTAGAGCATGTTAGCATTACCAGACCCCAGGTCTCCTTTATCATGTAGACCAGACTGTTGACTTCCCTTCAACAAGTGGATGTACAAGATGTGAATGTTGTCAGGAAAGTAATGAAGAGAGAGTGGCTCACATACCCCCACCCCCACCCCCCCACGCCCCACCCCTCTCCGCCCACAGGGAATATCTGACCAATAACGTGAGTGTGACGGTCTACCCTGTGAATGAGCCGTGGCTGTACTCCCTCCTGTGGTGTAGCGGGGTGCATTCTGTGTCCTCTGATGCCCCTCAGATCCTTCGAAAAGTGCCTTACCCTATCTGGCTCATGGTAAATATTACACACACACGCGCGCGCACACACACACACACCCAGTTAAACAGGAAGACAAGAAGAGAGCACAGAGAATGACGAGGACCCAGTGAGACTTCAGGGTGAAGGAAATCAGCAGACATTAGCTCAGCACGGATTCAGACAACAAAATCCTGAGACAGAGATCCTTTTTTCCTGACGAGAGCAAAGATTCAAGAGGAATGTGGCTGTGTGAGTGTCCTGTCACAGTGTCCCGATTGATCATGCGCCCTGGCTACTTGGCCAAGAGGATGTCCCTTTGGCCGACTGGTTAGCGTGTGTGACTCTCACCCGGGAGTCTGGGGATCGAATCCCGCCCGGGCCCTTGTTTCTCCACCTTGCCACATTTGGCGTTGTTGGCAGGATCCATGTGTGGCAAGGTGGAGACCAGTTGGGCTGCAGGATTCTGTCTTTACAGGGACCTCTAGTGGCAGTAACAAGAAGCTAGCATTGTTTTTCTTCCTTTCAGAGTCACAGTGCTTTCAACTTCATCTGGATCACTTCAGACCTCGTCTCCATCACTGTTGTCATGGGGATTTTCTTTTTTCAGAAGTAAGTTAAGTTTTACCGGTGATTCAGATGTAAACCACAGCTCTGGCTTTTCATTCAGATATCACAAACAACGTCCCCCACTTCAAAAGGGTTCAAATGAAGGCAAATCATAAGCTTGACTGTCCCATATTCCAGTTACAATGGACAAAGCTCCTCAGATATGGAAGAATTAAAGTGCCAGAAATTGAGCACTTGAACTTTCAATTTGAGAGCAGAATTTCACATCAAGAGACCAACTTTTTAATTTGAGAATAAGATTTTATATTATTGCTCTCAAAACTTGTAATGCTTGCACTCAACATGTCTGCCCTCTTTCAAATTCACTCTGTTCTCCTTCAAATCTTTGTTTCTGCGCTCAGATTTAACCTTCTTACACTGGTATTGTCTTCTCACGTGACAGCTTTTTCTCTGCACGGATCAAAACTCCTCCCACAAGTCTGCTCCCTTGCTCTCACTGATTTTTTCTGCTCTCGTTCAAAACTTGGAAGTACAATCTCCTAGCAACCGCTCAGCCAATAGAAAGACAATGTAGAACTGGGTGGGAACAAGCCTCTTTGGGGTGGGGTTAGGGTTAGGGTTAGTCATTGGTATCGGTATCAGCAATACTGGCCCCTGTATTTACTTGATATTGGATCAATACCAAATTTTGCAGTATCGTTCAGCACTAGTTCATAGATTAACCGCAATGCGACCAGGTCAGTCTAGAGATGTCTCCAGGTCACAACAGGCACGAAGGTTGTTGCGTCTAAGAATGGACTCTTAAGGAGTCTTGCTGTGTCAGTTTGCAGCATGCAAACAGGGTTTGACTGTATGTCAAAGAGTTGTTTCAAAAGAGGCTGGTTCCGAATTGGCCACTTCGGAGTTCCACTCGAAACTGAATAACTCGGGAAGTCACTCTAGTTTTAAATCTAGTTTATCATTTCTGCGAATTAGCATTTGACATGTTTGTCGGCGTTACCAAACATCCCTCAGAAACAACACCTTTCAGATACAAGCTGTTCTAGTTCTGTGGATAAAGAATCTTTACTTTATGTGAGATGACCTTAACCTTAATTTGCATCTAATGAACATTGTGTATGAGTGTAGATAATGATTAACTTGTTAAATCAAACATTACTGATCATAAAATATAAACGGATCATTGTAAGCACAACAATATTCATTTCAACTTCAACTTTGAATTAGGCACAGATTATACAAACATGAGTTGTAAAAGTTCACTTTTCATTCAGAGTGTGGAATCCAGCTGTCTGAGTTACGTTTGACAATCTTGTCTTCATGGACTGTCAGCAAGCACTGCAGAATGTTCTGGGTGTTAGAAGATAGCAACTCCACCTAGATAGTGAATTATTTCTGTAGGTGACCGGTCACTATGCGTGTCAATATATAGGTCAAAATGTACCCTTTCTGGATGTTACAGGGCCTGAGTATCTCTCCCCAGTTCTCCAGACACAGTAGCTTGGTGTTACAACCCTGTGACCATGTCCCTCTGCACGGATGCTCCTTCAGGAGCTTCCTCTCTGCAAAATGTACACTTCCATTTGAGGATGCTGCTGTTCTCTACTGGTTGTGCAAATACACTAGGTGCATCTGACGCAGGAGGAGCCACTGAGTTATGTTTCATCCATGATGTCAAACAAGAGACTTGTGTCAGGTGTTCAACAGCTCTCCAGCAGTCTGGGATGTTTCCAAGTTCAGGGATCTTATTTAAGATTAGAAAAAGAAGATGATGGTTAATAATTGCTACATGCTAATGAAGAGTGGTAAAAACAACCTGAACATAATATTTACTTTCCCAATGTGGAATGTCTGAAAAAGTGTAGAGCTCTCTGCAAATACATTTGAGCTATTTTACTAATTGTCTTTATATAATGAATAAAAATGTAAAAAGAGTAATAACACTACACCCAATACAATTATATGTTGGTATATGGATGCTTTGAATGATTATCATTGTGGTGAACTCACAATTGGTGAAGTTGAGTTTGTATCCAAGTAATACAACAAATTATTCTTCACAAACAGTGAAATGGGTTCTGCACACAGGAAGAAAATAACCAAAATAAATTAACTCTATTCTAAACTAAACTCTGATGTGGAAAAATAAAGAACCCATTTAACTACAAAACAAGAGGCCACAAAAATATTTTACTGACAAAATCATAGGAGTTGTTCTGTCAGATATCTATTAGTGGTATTAGCATATTTTTGCTAACACTAGCAGGCTACCATGCTATTTATTACTCTTGAAGATGAAAATAATCCCAAAATAAACATTTAAAACATACTTTGTTACCATATGAATAGTTCAAATAAATTATTCATGTTAGATGTTTATATTGTTTGTTTTTCACTTACCGGTCATTCGGCCATATTGATTCACATGAACTGCGACAGGTGTTCTGCTCTCTGTTGTTCACCATGGCAGAGCGCGTTCACGTATCCGGAAGGGCGTGGCCTAAGGATTATAAAGCTCCGGGAGTTGTCGTCACTTCTCCCGGCATGCAACAGTTCAAATCGAAACGGCGCCATATTGTCATGCAGAAGCCGGCACCTGGACTATTTGTTATTGTCAGAAAACTCAATCAGACAGGAAATATGGTAGATTCCTGTTGTGCCCCAGGATGCAGAAGAGACACGGACGACATAAGGAATGAGCCATCTACAGGATTTCCCAAGATCCGGAGGGCCGCAAACGTTGGATCATTGTAATAAAGCGAGCTAGTGACCGGGCTAAAATGAAACTGTGGGATCCCGAGAGTAAAGGTTTTCACTTATGCAGCGACCACTTCATATCAGGTACTTAAACCAACGTTTCCTCAACTGTGTATGGTGTTTATTATAAATGCTTTTATTACGATTCTTAGTGGGCTTCCTAAACTTATTTTGGCGTGGCTTTTTCTGTCTTATTACTCATAGCAACAAGTAAACATCACGTAAAACGTTGCCTCGTGATATCTGCGTGCTTTCGTTTACGTGTTTTATGATCACAGCAAATAACTGGCTAAGCTGTATTTATTTTTTAAGCAATTGTTGATCAATTATCAGATCACACATAAAAAGCACTTTGGATTGCTATTATCTGTCTCACCGAGACAGATCTCAGACAGATCCTGAGATGTTCCTGCCTGACATATTTATTTTATTCACGGAAAACAATCAAACTAGTGATTTCTCTTGGCGTTCAGTTTATACATTCGAACAGCACAGCACTCTATTTAAACTACTTACGTGTAAATCTGTTATTTGTCTATCCATTTTCATTCGCGTATCCGGAGTCGGGTTACGGGGGCAGCTCCTCCGGGGAAATCCCAAGGTTGTTCCCCGGCCAGGTCCGGTAAGAAGTCCGCTCCGACAGCTTCTGGCATTTTTAAAAAGTATCCCAGAGGCATGGTAAGGGTCGGAGATGTTTAGTCTATTTCATTTCTGACTATGTAAAATGATTTCTTCGGTTTTAAAGTGTGAAGTAAACTCAGACGAAGTAAAATCCAAGCCGATCCCGTTCATGTTCATGTTTACGATCCGTGTTTGTTTACCTTTTTTGCCTGCCAATATGGCATCTACTAACTGAGAGTCACGTGGGGACTGGAGCTCTATACCCGACGGGAGGGGTGAGAGTTTTGGACCGTGCTTGTATAAGCTAGCTAGCTGGGCCTAGCTTGTTTCAGTATTCATTACAGCACCTTTAATCTGGATGCCCGGTGCTGCAGTTGCTCAATGAGTTTTAGGGGTTAAAATGTCAACAACAACAAAAATCAATAACCTGTCCCACTTGGTGTCTTTGCTGCATAATTAAGTAGTTTATTAATAAAATAGGTGTTTATTTTTATGTGTGCCTGGTAGCTGTGATCTGACCATGAATTATACTGCCAGATTACTCAAATTCAGATGTTCCGTTGGATCAGTGGAAATGTGGATGAGGCTGAAATGGGCTAAATGTTTAGTTCCATTGTATTCACCTTGAAGCTGTGAGTAAAATGTAAAAGCTTTAGAAATATGAGATATTTACAGCCAGTACCTTTACAGTAGTGGTTTTAATTGTTTTAGGCTCTTCTAAAATCTTCACCATTGGTTCTAAACTAGCTAGAAACAAACAGAGGCGCTGCCACTGATCTCTTTCTCAGGACAAACACCTCTACTGGATCTACCAGAGGAATAAAAGAGTGCTGAAAGGTTTGTCTGACTGGATTATGGCATGGTTCTCTCAGTCTAATGTTGAAGTGTGCAGAAACATCGTTAGCCCTGCTGCTAATGACCTCACAGCTTCCTAAACTGGGGGTGGGTGTACATGTAAACATTACTGAGCTCCAGGTCAAACAGGCTCTTCGTCACAGTCCAGAAGACCTGAGAAGTAGTGAAGAGATCAGGAGGGCACAACACCGCCTCTCAGCTCACTCAATCTGGTGTTCAGCTTCTGGTGAAATTGGATGCAGCAGTTCTCCTTTTCACTTGGATATGTTAGATTTATTGATATGACTGAATTTCATTAGGTTTGTGGTTGCATGTTTTCATTCGACAGACTTGTTTCAGAGTCAGCATGGCCCTGCCCTCCTGTGTTTGGTTTATTATTCTTTGTTGCAAAACTGATTGTAAGGCTATTAAAGAGCAAGTCACTTCAAATCAACTTCTTATTTTTCTGATAAACTATATAAATGTGTGTCTAGTCATGCTGCAGACAATAGTTTAGCACTTTAGTGCAATTTAGTTAAAATTTTTATTTTCTGCCTAAAACTGTCAGTGTTGTGCCGTTGTGTCTTCTGTGCTTCAAATATCTTAATATCCTCCTGTCTTCTCTTTGCCCTATGCTCTGCTGCTTCCTGGCATCTGTCAGCTATCATATGATCAGGTAACTGGCATCTGCCTCAGCCAGTCTGTCTGTCTGTCTCTCCTTATGCTTCCTAGAGCCAGCAGGCCCTCTACCCCCTCAGTGTACTTGTGAACTGAGCCATAGGGAGCCTAAGTCACTTCCGGATCATGGGTCCCCGGAAGAACGAAAAAATGAATGCAAGTCATTGGGGCTAAAAACGCTATTTTCTAATTCCGCTTGTTTTGTGCCATGGATTTCACATATGATGTCTGTGAATTTTAAAGACACATTTTGATACCAAGAAAGGGCTTATTTTCGAACGGGGGGGAACAATATTTTAGGTTTTGTGTGGAAATAAGTCCAGGACTTCACAAAAGTGACGTAATCGAACCAGACACGGAGAAAACTGAGGGAAAAGGGTTGTAAGTTCAGCAAACTTCCCACAGGAGGAAAAAACCACCATAAATCTGGCCATTTGGTAAATAGCAGCTACATTAGGGGAGAGGAGATTATGTGGTGACGTCACATATTCGACGTGCGGATTTCTAGTTTGTAGTCATGCTAATTTTTAGGGATGAGCCGGATACTCGGATAAAGCACTTTTGACAAAAAACGAGCATGAAACGAGTAAAACTCGTAAATATCTGTAATCGTGCTGAAGGAAAATCCTCATTGGGTAACTGACTGTCTTCACGCCCTGTGATTGGACAGTCACATAGAGCGCCCGCCCCTCCCTACACACAACTCTGCAGCCGGGAGCTCAGTCCGTCCGGCCCATCTCTCTCTCTCCCATCATATTTTTGCTGGCTGGCCAGAATCAGAAAGTCCCACGGGATCCTGGCTTACTCATTCTCTACCACCTCAGGGGGTGTTTTCCACTTTGACCTTGGGGTTTCCACTCTCTCTCTCTCTCTTTCTCTCTCTCTCTCTCTCTCTCTCTCTCTCAATTCATGCACATTAATGTTCCGATTTAATTGAAAAACTTGTTCTGTAATAGTTCCTTTACTAATGTGATCAAAAATATTTAATCTCAATTCTGAGGCTGCTTTGTAAATAGTTTTTAAATAAACAATACACATAGCAACTTCTGATCAACCTATATCAATTTTAGATTTAATAATGTATTGATGTAAACCACACCCACTTCGAGGTCATATACAGATAGTGGTGGATTCACTCATCCCTACTAATTACAAACTTATATAAGCTGATAAATCTCAAAGTACGTGACTGGCATGGTCAAAACACCCATCATTACTTTTCATTTAAATTGCAGTACAGCATATGTGTGATCCAGGGCGTAAGGCAAAGCGGATTAGAAAACAGCATTTTAGCACCGTTGACTTTCGTTCTTCCGAAGACCCATGCGCCAAAAGTGGCTTAACCTCCCTACTGAACAAGCATGAAACACGTGTAACTCATCATGAGAAGTGTCCCTTTGCTTTCGTCTTCCTGAACCATTCTGCTGGGACAGGTGGAGGATAGGTGGGATCCAGAACTACAACCCGGAGCAGATCATGCTGAGCGCTGTGGCGCGACGACCCAGTCGCAATGTCAACGTCATGAAGGAGAAGCTCATTTTCTCAGGTTCAGTTCTGATGGCACAGTTTCATTCATTAGCACGAAGCCACGTGTTTAAAGGGTTAGGGTTAGTTAGTTAGACAGGATTGTTTTAGTTTACTGTAACGTAATTTCCAACTGTGGCAGTCAGCCCATTAACCGACAATCACAAACTCCAAAGGAAATTTATCTCACTTTCAGATACTGAGCTATAGGAATAGGCCATAGGGCCTAAAGCCTATATCGGGATTACACTAAAGCTCATGCAGTAATGATACATATCGCTATTAATTATTTTCTTCTGTTTATTTATGTCTAAATGACTGTTTTTGAGTATCCGTACATACCAGATTAATTGCAGCAGAACAAATAATTATAATAAGTACAGAATGACATTTAAATAACATTTAACAATCAAAAGTTTTTTTAAAATGTACAAAATATCTAAAATATTTTTATGTTATGATTATTTTTCTAAACAATTCAATACAAAAATGATCACAAAATTAATGAAAATGAAGAAATTATAAATAAAATACAAGCTAAATGTGATGAAAACACAAAATTATAAATAGTTTGAACTGCAGTAAAAAATGTAAAAAGAAAACATTTTTTCCTGCTTTCCTGATTCATTTGTTCATTTTCCATGTTGTTCTGTTGCTCATAGAAGTTTAGTTTTATTTCAGCAGGGAATAACTGCAGCTTTAATTATGATTTGCTGCATTTTTGTTGATAATATGAAATAGGGTTGGAGATTCATCCAGTTATTTCATTTTTGCTGAGCTTCACTCAGATCAGCGCCCAGATCTGTGGGGATGACCCACCGCGGGGTTCACCGGCAGCATGGAGCGAGAGAGGGGAAGAAAGAAGTGTGTGTGTGTGTGTGTGGGTGGGTGGGTGAATGGATGGTGACAAATGCTGTTGTCTTATTGTCTCAACATGTCCAACCATGGACTATGTTTGCAAATTAGCCTCTGGCTGGAAAACCTCTGTACCTCTGTGGTTACATCGCCCTTATATTTGTCGTCTTCCTGGCACTGGAAGCAAGCAGACGCTTTTCTTTTTGCTCCTGCCCCTTATTTTCCCTAGGCGCTGTGTCCTGTCTTTTCTGAGAGTGAATCTTTGGATTCTTTCTGGAGTTAACTTTTAAAATGATGGATCTGGTCAACTGGTCACCGAACACCATTGATGAAATTTTTACAACATTCAGAAGGGAGCTCCTATGTTCCTGCACGGAACGCACCTGGTTGGACAGATTTTGGATACCTGTAAGTGGGATACACTTATACAGGCCATGATTGGCCAGTGGGCTGAACATTGGACATGTGAAAACATTGGTCAGTTTTCACATAGCCCGCAGTGTCAGTTTAATTATGTATTATTTATGGCACACTTTCTTAGTCTGAATAAATTAATAATGACTTTAAAGTGTAATTCCTTTAGTCACCACATGGTAGCAGCACTTTTTTTTTTACCTACTACCTCATTTAAAAGTGCATTCCTTCATTTGGAAAACAGTTTAGCTTAAGAGTTTTATTTTCATGCCTGTTAACAACGTGCTAACAGCATAGCTATAAATTTATTGTGGGGATTTAAAAAACCCTGAAATTTGGAAATACTCTGTGTAAAACATGAGGATTGACAAATGAACCATAAATGCTTTTTTGTGATAAGAAAATGTAGTTAACTTATTTTAAATTTTATTTCATTTATTTCTTTGTTATTTTAAATAAATAGTAACAAAATGAATAAAACAAAACTTACAAATACCTGAATGAAAAGGAGCAGATTAAAAGATAACCATATATATAATCTGCCTCTCTCACACTTGTAGTTAAATCAATAATAAATAAAATGTGTCTGATAAGGTTAACTGAAGGAGCTGCAGTCAAACATGCCAATAATTTATAAATTCATACCTTATTGACTGTTTTGTAACACCATCAATGATTCATTGCAGGATATAATGAGAAGACACAAAGAACACCCCCCCCCCAAAAAAAAACAAGATTATTTGCTATATTTTGTGATCGTATGTTTCAACCATCTTTTTAAATATTGTAAGTGATTTTGCTTCTTTCATTTCTGACTCCAGGTTGTTCCATATACCAACTCCATACTCAGAAACATATCGCTCCAACACTTTGGTCCTCCTCAATCTTGCTTTTATTAATATCTTGCATCTTTTTAATTATAAGATCTTTTTCAAATTTCACTTGGATATTTTAGTTCACATAAGGATTATCTTGAGAGGCGCTACATAAAAGACCCTTTTCTTTCTTTTTTCTTTCTTTATAGAATAATTGTAGAGTCCTGTAATCAGCCAATTGTAATATTTGTAACTCAGCCAGTAACGCACTGGCTGTATCTCTGTGAGTATTTAGACTAATGATCGTTTACTCTGGTTACCATAGCAACTGCCTTTGTTATTTTATACCATAAATAAATTTATGACCCCGAAACCTTAATGTCCCTCATTTTATCAATTGTAATGCCTTCTATACCCAGTGACATGTCAGTATTTACTCCCCTCTCTCTTTTGTACTGATGCAGTCATGAGCTACCAGCTCCCACACCTCTTGCTCACCATCTGCATGCCTCTCGAGAGGCCATAACAATATTTGACTGACAAAATCATGAGTTGTTAGCAGCACTAGCTTATTTTTGCTAATACTAGCAGGCTGCCATGCTGTTTATTACTCGCGCCGTGTGCACTTGGTGGAGGGAACGCACTCCCACAGAACCGATTTAATCAGACCAGGGCGTTCCAAACACTTCCATCTACTGGACTTCAGAATCAAAACTCATAGGCTTCCCTAAGCGGCCCCTTGACCAATATAGCCGGCTCCTTAAGGACAAATTGTCCACCCGTGCGGAGAATTTCCCAGTTCCGGACTTTCTAAGCTCACAAACAGGCTTCTTTCTACACAACTGCGAAATCACCGCCCCACGTTGGGCGCCATGTTACAAGCCATCTTCCCAAGCTAGCTGACTCTTTAATAAACACTACGTCTCAGGGTTGACTTGTACTTCTATTTATGCGTGAGCGTGATTATCCAGTTGACCTGCACACTAATATGAGCTGATCAGCGATCACCATTAACCTAGGTTTAGATTATGGCACACACACTACTAGCAGCTCAAAGGAAGACTCTGTTCAAACCCAAACACACCTTAGTCACCTGCAGCTTATGTAGTGCTCAGGTTAATGACTCTAAACTAAGTGTTATGAACCTCTTGGAGTGGGATTAAAGGAACCAGCACCTCACCTTTCTGCGGTTACGTGACACCAAGGAGACCCCAGGCAGGAGATCCGTTTTAAAGCTCCTTATAAGAAGGAACAAAAGTTTTTATTTTATATGATGAAGTAAAAAATTATTCCAAATTCCCGACGCAGCGGGTCAAAAACACTGAACCGGTACAGACTCCGAACAACAACCAACAACTCCCCAAGAACTTTTTTAAGCCCCCGAACCAACTTTTATCGCTTCACTACACCCTCCTTCTGGCCCCCTTTCGTCTCCATGACAACTCCCGCCTCGGATGCGCTCTGCCAGCCACTTGACTCCTTCCAGCTCCCTTCTTCTTTGTGGGTCATCAGTCAAATGGGGGGGCGCACTCCCCTCCTTCCTCTTCTCCAACTCAGAGGTCTGCTCAAGTCAACCATAAACAATTTCCTGACATGGGTGTCCCTGAAATTCTTATCATATCCTGGACTACTCCCATAAAAGTCAGTAAAAGGCTAAAACTACAACATATATTTGCCATGAATAGCAGATTAGTGAAACACACTCATTATTTACGACATCAGGAGATCAGGAGTCAAGTCACGCACACACATTTTACACACAGACCTTTTTCTGAACCCTGCAGCCTGGTTTCATCAACACACAGATTGAGATGTAATTCAAAACTGCTTTTATGTGATAAAACAGGTCTGGAGAAATCGAAAATCTTTGTTCAACACTTTCTTTATTTTGTTTTCATCATCCAACCCCCATAACTCCCTGTGTGTCCTCCTGCAGCACTCCCGAAAGACAACAGGCAAAACAAGACAAAAAAGTCTGACATGTTGTGTAAAAACCGCTATTTTTAGCATATTTTGTAGGTCCGACGTGTTGCTACCAGACGTACGGTGTGAGCAGTCAGGTCGCAACCGAGAACTGGGTCGTACAGTGTGAGCACATGGCTCGTGAGATCTGCCCTGCAAGGAAGTCGTACAGTTTGAGGTGAAGCTGAGTGCTACGAGCGAAAAAGTTGCACAGTATCCCCCCAGCTTTACTCTGACACACAAGGGGAAGGAAAACCCCACCAGAGAAGTGATTCAGGACCTCAAAACTTGTGATGCTCTTTGGGTTAGAACGCAGGGTTGGATCAGAGAACGGCCGAAACCCTATCATCCCTGATCCTGAGACAAGATGACGAGACAGAAAGAGCAGTTAGGTCACTAATTCTCATAAACGACGTCAGATCCTAGCCTGGCCTGCCAGATTCCTCCTCTGTTTAATTCTGCACAGAGAAAGGGTCTGGGAACTCTCCTATTCAAATAACCCCACCCCCTGAGATTTCTATCCGAGCCAATCAGCGCTGAGTAGCGTACGTCACACACCACAACACCGAGTTTGTCATAAACATGGCGACCGAAGCGGAGTTCGCTGCGGCTCTTTCCTCTGTTCTAAATGACTTGAATGTCGTTAAAGCTTCTTTCCGGAGTATTTCTCTTATCCGATGGCACCATCTAGTGGCTGACAAGCATATCACACAAAAAGTCTATTCCTCTGTTTGTTTAAGATGGTGACTTCACATTTCTGTTTATAAATGTGCTTCTGTAGCCGACAAACAGAGCTAAAACACGTTGTTTTACAAGTATTATTCTCATGTCATGTTGTGTTCTCATATATTTATATTTTAGACTTACTTGTCTGTGAAAAGTTCATCAACTCTGCATCAGCCGAGGTATTCCTTAAATTTGAAACAAGTAAGTGGTAGTCTAACGCTATTGGTTAGTTCAGGCCGGTGCTCAGTTTCCTATTGCATGGAGCTCTGCGGGACAGGGGGCGTGGTTAGCAAAAAAAATGGGTCAAGTACTTTTTAGCAGCTCTGTACTCAATGTGTGAGATTGTACCCAAAACATATTTTTAAAGTTGGGACTGAACACGTTAAAACTTTAATTTCATTTATTTAAGCTCCAGAAGTGCAGTTTCTAGGGAAAAAGTCTAAAATGGTTCCAAACATAAAACTGCAACAAAACAGCTCAAATAATCACAAGTCAATTACATTTTTCTGTGGCTGAATAGTATCAAAATTTCATGAAAGGGTTTATTTACAGTTGCATCAGTCAGTATCTGAGACGTCACCCTGCTGGCTTTCATTATGAAGGATAAACACCGTTGTAGATACCATTTGACTGTAGCTAAATATTCACAATAAAGTAACCTAAAGTCACAATTGATTTTTCGTTTTGTCTGTTTCAGATCTTGACAATGGGCTGGGAAGCTCTGAGGAACTTTCTCTGTACCCTGAAAACAGTCGTGTGAGATTTTCTGATGGAGGATCGAGTCACTGAACTAAACCCACAGCCAGAGCCAGATTAACATTCTGTTGTACCCCAGCAACAATATTCAAGGGTCCCATTATCAAGACCCCAGGATCACCATACCATGGTCACATACAGAATATTTTACTGTAATATGCAGTAAATATACTCAATTCTTCATAGGACTAAAAATGCACTACTATGTCTCATATCAGACATCCACTCAAATATGATGCTATGAAAACAAAACACATCAGCATCTGTATAATCTGGTCAAATTAACCCACTAAGTTGAGAGGGAGGGAAGTATCTTCCATGTTTACAAAAATGAATAAATAAGCAATCACTTTCAAACCATCATTTATTTAACAACACTTATTCCCAATAAAACAGCGAGGCCAGCTTTTACAGTTTAACCCATTTCAATATTATTCAATGGGGAAAATGTTCAGGAGGATTTTAAAGACACCCCCAACAGGTACATAAATAAGTCCATCAGAACCAGAAGCTGCACCAACGCATCTCGTCTGGAGGTCTAGACAGGACAGGAGACCTATGACTCTTCCCCACGTACGATCCAAGCTAGAACGGAGTAAGCCCAACGGGTCGGGTTGGCCTTGGGTCGATTAATAATTTGAGTGTGATGAATCGGGCTAGGACGGCAGACAGAGAGAGGAGATGAGGATGCACCTCGAATGAAACACAGTGGAATCATTATCATTCATCCATGGTGGTAAAGAAACACAAAAATGTAGACTATGTTGTCTCTGGCGAGCCGTTTTTAAGCTTTAAGTCCATCAGGTCAGTCGGGCTGTGGCCTTCAAGGACCTGGTCTTCTCCTCCCCTGTTTTCCAAAAATACTGGCACTCTCATTTACGTGTACTGTACACACGTGTTTTCAATAATTTGGCCCTTTAGTACATCTTAGTTAATATTTAAACATCCTGCCTAAAATTGTCAGTGTCAGTGCAGACGTCAGGTAAAAACTCTGCACTGCATTTGAATTTAAATCTGCCTTTGCTATTGGCTAAGAGGTACACTATGATGTTAGCTGGTACATTATGAAGTCACAATGACGTTGTGAGCCTGTGTGTGTATTTGTTAGTGGCTCCACCCTTTCGGTCTGCCAGGCAACAGCCTTTGTTGCATTTTTTCAAACATGAAGTGGGAGTGGAGTGAGACTCTGGTAGGGGGTGATTTGCTCTTTAATAATGAGGATATACATGTTTGAATTTGAAATGCCTTCATTTTGCAAACACATCTTAGAAAAAAAAATTTTCTGGACTTTCTGGACCATCATCTTCAAAATCAAAGCCACTAACAAGTTCATGTCCAATAGCTTAGTACTGTGTCTGTGACACAATTTCTCTCTAGAAGACAAGATAAAAACCTATACTGCAAAACCTGGCAAAACACACACTTTTAATCCTAAATAATGTGGAAGTGGCATTTTTCTGGACTTTGACTGTGCAAACTGATGTATAATGTATTCAAAATCAAGGCCACTAACAAGTTCATGTTCAATGGCTAAGAGAGGGAGTGCAGAGAGCCGTGTCTGTGACATTGTGCGCATGGCACAACACAGGAAAGCCGCGTCTTCAGGACAAGACTCTGCAGTCCACCTACACCTGAAGGACAAGGGACACACCTTTGAAGATGACAAAGTACAGATTCTGGACAGGGAAGATAGATGGTTTGAGAGAGGAGTAAAATAAGCTTTCTATGTCAAATGTGAAAAACCTACTTTAAATAGGGGAGGGGCTTAGATTTTACCTCTCCAGTACCTATAATGCAGCTTTGAATCTCATTCCTAAGCAGTTTCAGTCTAGGTCACACCTTCCTGCATCTCATCAACATGACACCCTCTCAATAGGGAGCCTAAGTCACACCCATCTACTTCCGTATCACAGGTCCCCGGAAGAATGAAAAAATGAATGCAAGTCAATGGGGCTAAAAATGCTATTTTCTAATTCCGCTTGCTACGTGCCATGGATTTCACACATGATGTCCCTGAATTTTAAAGACACATTTTGATACCGAGAACGCGCTTATCAACAAAGGGAAATGCTATTTTAGGTTTTCTGTGAAAATAAGTCCAGGATTACAAATGCGCTTCACGAAAGTGACGTCATCGAACCAGACACAGAAAACTGAGGAAAAAGGGCTGTAAGTTCAGCAAACTTCCCACAGGAGGAAAGAACCACCATAAATCTGGCCATTTGGTAAGTAGCAGCTACGCTAGGGGAGAGGAGATTGTGTGGTGACGTCATATATGCAACGTGCCGATTTCTAGTTAGTAGTCATGCTAATTACGAACTTTTACAAGCTGATAAATCTCAAAGTATGTGACTGGCGTGGTTGAAACACCCATCATTACTTTTCATTTAAATTGCAGTACAACATATGTGTGATCCATGGCATAAGGCAAAGCTGATTAGAAAATAGCATTTTTAGCCCCGTCGACTTGCATTCATTTTTTCGTTCTTCTGGGGACCCATGATGCGGAAGTAGACTTAGGCTCCCTATAGAGGCTAGCAACTCATCAGGGGATGGAGACGAGGGCTATCCAGAGTAGTTTCTCCTCGTTAAATAACAACAGACAGCTACAGATCATAAGCTTGACTCTCACATATTCCCGTCAGAATTGACAAAGCTCCTCAGATGAGAAGAGAAACGTCTTCAAGAAACCAAAGAAGTTCAGTTGCCATCATTTGAACCCTTTTGGATTACCATAACCTGAACGACTGAGAACCTTCACCAGTTTATTGCATCATAAACATTCGGAAGTGTTGTCTTAAGTCCCATGTCTGTCAAGAGCTTGCAGCAGCTGTACAGGTGAAGTCTCACGCTGCACAACGTGCTTGAACTGAAAAAGTTCATCTGACAAGGAACTTCCCAGATTAGAACTTAGCAACCCTCACAATCATGATGGTCCCACTCAAAAAAAAAAAAACAAAGAGGTCACACACGTGTGTGTTAGCTTCTTTGTGCTTGGATAAGCATGAACAAAGTCTGTCAAAAGATGACGTTTGATATGTTTCAACTTTGAATTTCTGACTGCTGTCATTAAAAGTTACTTCGCTGTCACCAGCAGATTTATCTGCAGATTTCTGTCTTTGTCTTACATGTTGAGTGTCAAACTGGTAGTTTTGTGTCACACTGACCGCTGATTCTCCAAGCTCTGAACGTTTTTCTCGTAGAGTTCCAACACATGAAAGCAGTGTGTGCAAAAGGCCAAGAGCAGCAGTTAACTACACAGGGTTTTTTCTGCGTTCAAATTTGCGTGGCGGCCGCCTCCAGCTAATGTTGTGCCGCTCCAGCCTGATTTCCCTCTGCCCCCAGCTATATGGATCTTATTTTAACTGCAGTTGCAGCGTTGCGCCACTACGAGGCGCTGTATCAGCAGCGGTGCACCGAAAAGCACTAAAACCGCTGCAGACAAAGAAGATCAAAAATAGCTTTTCTCGCTAGTTGGTACATATCTATGGTTGGTGCTATTGACATCCTGATTGTCCCCCAGGCTCTTCCATATCAGAGCAGGGCTGTACAGTGCGATGAAAAAACTGTCTGTGCGTGTCTGTCTTATGTTTAAATGTTGCACTGGTGCAACATCTTTTAATTACTGTTTTCCCCAGAACTTTATTGAACAAAAATAAGTTACGTGTAAGAAAAATGCTTTTTACTGGCGCACAGTGTTGTCATCTAGATGCAGTGTAGGAAAATAAAGGAACCAGCAAAGGCAGAACCGGAACCGGTCCAAAGTTTGGGATCAAAAGTGCAGCTACACGCAGATTGGCTAATGCTAAGGCTAATGACTAGCAGTCTCACGATCAAGTGGTGCCTAGAAAAATATATGATGATGGTAAAACTAAGAAAGACTAAACTCTACAAGCGGATGAAAAGTCCCCACCATCCTGTTTATTCTGCATCCTGCAGCGCTACGGATCAGAGCCGCTCAGGGGCGTCGTACTGGGGGGCAAAAGTGGACCTGACTACCCAGGGCCCAAGAGGGGAGAGGAGCCCATGATTCCCTCCCCCGTTTTTATTTAGAAAACATTGGGCCCCCTTTGTGTCAATTTGTGTCATTATACCATGGACGTAATTTTTTTTTGGGGGGGGGGGGGGGGGGGGGACATGTCCCCCCCACATTTTCCAAAGTCAAGTTTTGACCCCTGCACTTTTTACCATCCAAAACAATATTACACTATATTAAATTAACACTGGATGAGCTCTAGGACCAAGTGGAAAACAACAATTTGTGTTGAAGTCTGTTTCTCATTAGAGCATACCGTAAAGATACCCCTCCCCCCTCCTCCCTCCCCCGTGTCCCCCCCACTTCTAAAGTGAAAATTACGTCCATGCATTATACTGTTGTTGCCAACTAAAGATGGGAAAATAGAACCAGACTTTATGTCAGTGTTCGTTTTCCCCAATGGAGGAGCTTCTCCCTCTGGCTATAGTGCTGTAGTGACAACAGCATATGCTAACTAACTAATAATCATAAAACGATGCAGAGAAACGTGTTATGAGCAAAATTCTGTTTTATTTTATTTTGTGACTTGCTTATTTTAGAAATTGACCATTATCCATACCAACTTCAGACATTCTCTGTTCAAAAATCACTATTCAGTGAACTCTGTAGATTTGTAAGTTTAATATGAATAATTTGTTTATTAGTTTAGATAATGACAACTGATGCACAGATTCACAATTTTAACACTTAATATCTTACTCATCTTTGTTGGAAGATAACTTGGCAATATTCAAAATATAACCACTAAAAATATGACTGTTAATTTTCTGTATTAGATTTAACGTTTTTGTTAGGGTTTATAATGGTATTCAGTGCCCTCTTGTGAAAAGTATTATTTATTACATTGCAGTGTGTGGGAAATTGTATTTGTTGAATGTTAATGGCAAGTGTAGTTTCATCCACCTGTGTCATCTGTATGTTTGTGTGGACTTTGTTTTTTCTTTATTTGATTGTAAGAATACACTCAAAGAGTAAGTGTGTTTTATAAAAGAAAACGTTGTGGTCTGTTGTAAAGAAACAGCAGTAAATTAGCCATAATCTAGCGGATTCTCTTAGGGTGATTAGGCTTACTGTGGATGTATCATTGACCAGTTTATGTGGCAACAAATTAATGGATATATTTTTGTGGTTTATATTTTTTACAATTCAAGTTAGTATGCCTAAATAATCATTTACAAAAAGACCAAAATGTTCACAGTATGTCTATACTAGATAAGACACATTTATGAGTAAAGAACTGAAACTATATTTATAAGAAAGCAATTGTATGAAATGTAACGTGATGAAGGAGCTATTTCCACCAAGGTTATTTAATCTTTTCCACAGCCCCTTTGACGCAGTGCCCGAGTGCATGAAACTGTTTACGTTCCAGCAATGAAGACAGAAGAACGAAGAATGAACTCTTCTTTTAATTAATCAAAGAACTCTATTTTAATAAAGCTAATCCATCAAAGTGTTAGTCAATATAATAAGATGTGACCGATCTGTGAAATCAAAATATTAATTACTTTATTATGATCCTATAGAAATAATAAGTACTGTGATTTTAAGGATTCCAACAGGACTCATTTCACGTAGTGTTAAAAAGACATAACACATTCCTTTCACTGATCCAATCAGAATCTTACAGATCTGATGGAGGTGTGCTTCTGACGGGGTTTGGTAATTTTCATTCAACAATAAACCATAACATCCATGGTATAACACTAAGCCACGTCAGTTCTAACGCCAGTTCAAAGCGTTCCAGAGCAAGCAACGGAGTGGCCAATCCTTATCTTGTACTCTTTAGCCGAAAGAACCAACGACAAGCTGAAAAATCCAGTCCCTATAACAACCAGCGGCAACAACAGCTCCTTTCAGAATAAAAGCTCCACCGACCCAGGCTTGGGTCTGAACAGACGCCAGCAACGTGTCGTGTGCCAGAGGTAACTCAAGACGGGTCTGGTCGGAACTGCGGCTTCTTCTACTGGCCCGGTTTCCAGAGAGGGTTCATTGGACCTCAACGTTCCTGATCTACAGAGGACTTCCACCGAAGGCAAAGGTAGACACAACATGATGGTGTCTCATGCTGTTTCTGAAACTAACCAAAGCTTAATTCAAAACAACATCCTCAGTTCCCGTCAGAACTAATCGCTTCTTCGGATTTGCTGGTTCTGATCACATCACATGTCATCCATTCACCATCTCATCCATTTTTAGTTACACCATACATTTAGTTTTAAGTCAGGCTAGTTAAAATTGTTAGTAATAAAATCTTTAACTTTTAAACTTGACTCTCTCTATTCTGTGTCTCTGAGTGAATACATAACAGTTACCTAATCTCTGCAATAAAAAGATCCCATCTTCTGGTTTAAATAACCCTCGATCGGTAAGGTTGATTTCATATTTACTATGGAATCCCACATCGCCCGTGACGCATTATGCCACCCTGCCTAGTAACTGGAGCCTGGAATGCGATAGAAACACTTGCCAGAAAACTTCTAGACCCATACCGGTACATACCGGTCCATAATACCCAGACCTGACCGTTCCAGACCAGGCGATGGAAAAGAGCTATAAGTCCAGAGTCACAGAATGAATTCATTGATCTCTGTGGCAAGAGAGTGCTTAACACTTAACAACACAACAATTTGGCACGAGAAAACTGAATTGCCAGGAACAACGTATGAAGCTCCGACTGTGTGTGGAAATTATGTTGAATAATGATCAGCAACAGGCTGCCACTGCAGGTGCTGCCCGGGACCCGGATATGCAAATTTGACTCTGCCATCTCCGCTGAACCTCGGAGCTCTAGACTTATTCAACCAAGTACAACCTGTGGAAGGAATCTTACAGTGTTATTCAAGTAGCCAATGGAACTATTAATTTTCAGGAGATGGT